AGTACAAACTGGTCAAAGTACCAGTATAAACCAATCTTTTTCAATTATTTATAGGGTCAGTAATTTTTTGCCTATGCTTGTCAGGCTTAAAGTCCTTCAAACGGCGGAGGCAGTAGCCATCAGAATGAAGAAACCAGAGCTATGCGTACAGAAGAAATATCTCCAAGCCCTACTCCTTCCTTGGCCAACCACAAGGCCAACTAATGAACAATCATCTTAGCTATTGTATGACCTAATTTGACTATATACTTACGACCTTTCGTAATCAAATGTAATTGTCTCTCTTATCTTTATTCACAAATCTTTGTATTTTATTATTATTATTTTTATTATTATTGGTTAAATATCATTATTAATCCCCCCTAGACATGATTCATTCACATCGCATTGATCCATCCTTATTACGTCTCACTAATTTTTCACACAATTTAGTCTTCCAATTGATCGACTTGTAATTGCACTATCATATCTCTCTCACCCTATCTGACCCATATTTATATTCTGATCACAGATCTTAAATTTTCACTTAACATATATATGAGTCATATCAACATTAACAATTTTATTCTATTTGATTTGACATTCCTAAATTTATTATAGTTGAAAGCGTGAGTCAATTGAAGCTAGACCACCATGGAAAACCTGGAAACACTGGACGGCCGTTTCATCCTATTATGGGACTCCTCAACAGTGCTCATCCACGGACCCGCTCTAGCAAGATTCGAACCCAGGACCTACCATGGTGGTCTAGCTTCAATTGACTCAAGTTTTCAACTATAATAAATACTAAATCTCCACAAAACCCTTTCCTGAATTTACATGCTTTAAACGATGTACTTTGCCTTTAACCTGGCCATATCTTCGGATTATTAATTTGGATATATAATTGTAGAGTTGAAATCATGATTCAATTGAAGCTAGACCACCATCGAAAACCTGGAAGCACTGGACGGCCGTTTCGTCCTATTATAGGACTCCTCAGCAGTGCGCGTCCACGAACCCACCCTCGCGGGATTCGAACCCAGGACCTACTAGTTTCGGGCCGAAGCCCTTAACCGATAGACCACTGAGCTGGCATCCAACGGTGTGCTTCAATTGACTCATGATTTCAACTTTGAAAAATACTGCAATCTCCACAAATCCCCTTCTAAATATAATTGTAGAACCTGAAGAGAATTTGTCGAAAAGAATATTCTTCGTTCAAATATTAGTCTTTTAATTAATAATTATAAAATGGTGTTCAAATCCTGTAAAAAAGTCAAGTCTTTTCATTTCAGTAAGTGGACTTTATAGGACACACAAACTGTTGTTTTAGAAACTGTTCTTTCCTTGCTCGTATATTTTCTGGATCGGAAATTGATTATATACATGGTTTTAGAAGCATAGGAAAGTTGGGATTCATGTCAGTGAATTTCATAAGTAGTTTGATAACTTTAATACTGGTCAAAATCATTAATAATAATAAAAAGTTAAATAAACTATAAGGTTGATGATTTTAGTCGTTCAGAATTTTTAGGTGTTAATAGGGAATTCTTCCTGAACGAATTAGAAATTGATAAACTGATCGCTTTGATTATTACAAAACTTAACTACTAATAAGAACACATATAATTAAATTATACACAGATTATAAATCCCGATTATACCTTTAACGCTTATGTATCGGAAACGGTGTATACTGCAGTTTTCACCAAGTAATGTACAATAAAATGTTCTATGAAACAGTTGACTTCAATGAAAGTTTAAAAAAAGCTGTGAAAAATATTTCTGTTTATTATAAACTCACAGCACATTCCATTGACTGAATACAAGACTGATTCAATTTTAAAAGTGATAAACCTACTAAAAAATTATTTAAAGGAAGACTAAAAGGTATTTTTGTCTGCATGCAGCACATATAGAGAGGATATTTTAGATCTCTTGGTTGAATACTAAGAATAGTAACCAATCTCATCATTGCTGAACAGTATAAAACTGGAAATAAAATGAACTATTCACTAGTCTATAGTATCAGTTTATTTGTTAAGCCCATATACTTTATCCTAGCTACTGGCCAAGCCAATTCGCCTGTCATGAGTCATATTTTGATCTTGTTAATCATTTGCTTATTAACCTTGACTATACTTTTATATGAGCATATATGTGTACATTTCGTATCTTATTCATCGTATGTCTGTCACTCATTTTTGTCCGACTATAAATGTTGATTAACGCTTGCTTAAATCGAGTTGGCTTCCCAACCATATCCCATGCATGTCATTTCCGCCTCGTTCGCTTATTCGGCTGTTCACTCGTTCGTTATTATTCGCTCAGGTGTTGCTAACTTTCTGACCTGAGTTATTCGACAATAAACTGTAGTTGCTGCTATCCTTTGTCTTCTGATTTTACGCGCCGTTAAGATTAGAATTATAACGGTTATCGAAGTAAACGATTAACGAATTGCGGCACTACAAGTCTACAGTATCATCCAACTTATTGTATTCGTGTACTAATCATTCATAATGTTTGTGAGTAATTTGATTAGGAAAATGGTCCTTTTGAACAACTTATTCATGATATTATGTATTTGAATAGGAGCTGAAAAAACCACATTAAAGAGTATTGTTTATTAGCCAAACCATAGTTTTCTATGCAACTTTAAGAGATGAGTAGACGTATACTTAAGGAAAATTAACAATCTAATAAGAACTATATTGTAGTTAAGAATATCCTTCACAAAGAATTTTAATGGTTGAGTTCATTTTATGTTATTTGTTTTAATCTTTCCATTGATGTTTAGGACTGCAGTTGATCAGTTTCTTATCGGCGAACGTGCATCCTGTGAGGATTACTTCGTTATTGCCTTAACTCACATGCACTATTAACAATGATGAATGGCAGCTAGCAGTGGAATCCTTAGTGGATAACGCAATGGTTTTTGAAACGAACGGTACTAGGCTCGAGTCTCGAAGTGACACATCAACTCTGTAATGCAGGTACATCCAGCTGAAGAGCTGTGAATAGGATATAACGCGTGTCCTAAATTCCACTGTTAGCTACTATCCATCTTTGCTTATAATTCGAATGGTTGTTTACTAATTAGCAAAGATTTCCTGTTTGATAAGGTCACGTACATAACTATTATCATGCCATTTTCGATACACAAGAATATAAACACAGTTTGAACACTATTGTTTGTTTTCTTTATTAGTTTACTAAAAATTTTCAAATTGCCTACTCACATTCTTGTTAATCTTTTCTATCACCGTTACACATGTATCATTGTTTAGCCTTAACAACCAATGACACACCCTACCAACAAGAATGAGAATTTATTTATTCAACCCAGCTTCACTTTTAAAAAGTGATGTATATATGCATAGATGTGAACATTATTCTTATTTTATACTAGAGGTAAAAGTTGCACAAATTCCAGTCTTTTCATTCTATTTCAATTTATCTAATAAAAAAGTCCTGACAACAGTATAGTTTTACAAAACATATAAATATGTATATATACAAAACGTTTCTATAGTAACGTGAATTATTGTATACGAGATAAATATTTTCAATTAAAAAAAAACACTACCTTCTTTTACATATCCTAGTTACTATGACGAAGGGTTTCCAGTTTTTCTACGTTACTTTTATCTAGAGTTACGTGATTAAATGTTGTCCCTGAAATTGGGCTATTTGAACAATGAAAATTAGAGTTATGATACAAATTTTATTGAAATTGTTGTAATGATAGTTTTTAGAGAAATATTTTAATTTATTGATTTTAAACTCTTTGAATTGACCTTGAAACAGAATTTACTCAACATTGAATTTATTTTGGATTGAAAAATTTGAGGTTGCTTTTTCTGATAATCATTAACGTTTATTTAAATAAATACGGAACAATAATTGAAGCAGAATAAAATGAACTCTATTCATTTTGTGGTTTCTTGTCAGCTTCTTACAACCGTATTCCCCCACTCCATCCATAGTAACATGGTGAAGCCTAGTAGGCCGTTCTGGAGAAGAATGCTAGATCGAAGCACGGCAAAACTACCGGGGTTCAATAGCTGTTTTTGCATTGCTTAGGCAGAATCATTACACCTTTCTCTTCAGTATTTTTTGGGCAAACTCATTTATTCTTTCTCTTTGAACTAATAATGATTCTTTGTAACCTTCGTAATCATTTGTGAGTATAGGTAGAGTAGGTGTTTGGCTGAACTCCAGGATCCGGGTACCGCTCGCGTTAGATCATGGAAACAGTCCCACTATCAAAGGAGCACGACGGGGATATGAAAGTCAGGTTTCGCCTACCATATATATATATATATAACCTCACTAAATTCTGACAACCATACACCAAACAGTTAATTTGCAAACTATCAATCAATTGTCTCAATTTTGACCATTCCCTAAGCAAATATCAGTCTATGGTCTTCCATTATTATTGTTCATGCATTTTCATACCAATTGCGTTCCGTTCCGGTTCTTTCCTTATGCATCTTCTGCCAAAATACATTCTATGCCTGACCATCACCATATACTACTTATGTGGATATAAGTAACCCAAACCACACTGGTTTTAGATTCTGAGCAGATTATTAATACTATGGGGATTGTTACTAAATGTGATCTAGAACTTCAAAACATATTTATTCTAATCTTAATCTTAATTCAACCATTTATTCACTATCACAACCATTCCCTCATATTATTTATTATAAAAGTATTTAATGTAGTAAAAACAAATTTTATTTATTATTTTATTGAAGAAAAGAATAAAAACATGAGTATGAGGTGCAGTAACCATATGCTTCCAATACATACTCCTCACATCATTATACAAGCAAAGAGTACTTTGAGAATAAACAATAACAGATACAATGGATTAAATAAAACAAAAACAATTAAAAGTAAAATGAAAATAGACTTAAGTAAAGATATTTTCAGATTATGAACAATTCATGATTGTCATAAAACTGATAATTATGAACAAAACCGATTAAATGAAAAACAAATGGAATCTAATTGGGAATAGAAGTTGTAGATGAACCACCAGAAGAAAATAACCGTAAAGAAGAAATACCTAAATAATTTGATAAACTACACACTCTCTCTTGAGAATAAACAAAATGTACGAGGATTGAGTTACGAGAATGTAAATATAAATTAAGAAAACAAAATAAGGCATCAATTATTAAACCGATTAATTTATACCATTCACAAACCCAATATGAACAAAAACATTGATACAATACACTAAGTGAAGAGAGGCACAACAGCATACTATTTAGGTATTTTGGATTGTCGAATATAAACTACAAAAAAAAGAAGAAATAAAAACAGGGAAGCAGAAATTACCAGTTCAAGTATTACATAATAATTGTTAACAAATCCTATTTGATGATTCTTTTGTAATCACTGAATATATAACCACTGTACTATTCTAATCTGAGGCTTATAGATAATAAACATCCATGATGAAATATAAGAACAAACACAGAATGCAATAATTCATATATTTGAAAGTTAGTCAAACCACAATATAATGCAAACAGTATTATGGCTCCTGAATCGATCAAACTATTCAGTGAACGGTAACCAATGTTATACTGATAGCAACTGACTGAAATTGGTACCATATTTTCACAAGTCCAAGTAAAACATCATTTGGATGCGTTAGCCAGAGGCGTTTACAATGGCTTCATGGTAATATCTTGTGTGAGAATTTTTAAAAAAATTTACTGATGAGTATTAACAAACAGAATAGCTATTTCTATAAAGCAATTTTGTAAGCTGTGCCTAATATCTAGACAGTAGTTTTATTGTTACTTTCATCATTGACACTTAGAAGTCAGACATAACCGGACAGATACTTTGTCTAGTTCAGAGTATTTTTTTGGGTACTAACTTAAAATAACTCAAACGTCGAAATTTACAAGAATAATGTTCAGAAATCAACGCGAAATAAGGTTGATGGAACGGCTAAGCGATTTGTTGATTAGATTATCAAAACTTTTACTCTGCTACAACACTCAATGGCTTAAATGATAGGTAGAGTTGATTAATAGGTATACAATACAACAGTAAATGAGTATTAAGAAAGTTGATATATGTAAGTTCACCGATACCAAGGGAATTTCGCACATGAATTATATTGCAAAACATTTTACAGTGAATGGATGAAATGTATCTTTAAAAAAACTGATTTTCCAAACTCTGTACATTGACAATAGCATTGGGTTTTAATGGGACATAAGATTTATTTACTGATTAGAGCACTTAAACCTGGTTTACAATATAGGTGACTGTTTGACGACACTCATCATTACCAATAACTTCAACCTACATTTTAGTTATTAATCAAAATTTAGCAAGTAGGCATAATGTCATGTCAACTTCATCAGGTAGTTAGTTCAACAACACAAAAAGATTAAATTTATTTAAAGAGAGGAAATACATATAAAGTTATTTCAATGATTAAAAGACAATAATTTGAATTTTGACGCTTTAGAAAGAAAAAAAATACAGGGAGAATACTACTACTATACACAACTCCGCCTGTAGCTCTTATAGAGTTACTGCCGATCCCAAAACCAGGTAAAGGAGGAGGGTTCGGCATGGGGTTAGCAACCATATCCCGTAGAAAACTAACTCCCTAAAAAAACGCCAACCGGAAAAGACAATTCAAACCATCTAAACTTTGCCCTCTGAGTTGAAGGAATAATTATGACGCCTCATGATGAAAGCCGAAATTTTTCGGAAGTCACGAGGCCAATGCTCCTTCTAACAACCAGAGCAGCACTCTTTATAGGTACATGAAACATTCGAACAATGTGGGAGACCGAGAAGATCAGTCAAATAACAATGAAAATGAGAAGATACAACTTTGCAGTAATGGGAATCAGAGAAAACCATTGGACCCAAGGTGGACAACAAAGGTTACGTACGGGAGAGATGTTGCTGTATTCCGGTCACGCACGGTAAAATGCTCCACACACTCAGGGAGTTGCTATAATGCTATCCAGAGAAGCACGAAATACATTTGTAGGATGGGAATCTCATGGATCCATAACCATCAAAGCATCATTCAAAACAACGAAAGAGGATCACAATGAACGTTATTCAATGTTATGCACCCACCAATGAAATTTTTATTTATGATAGCAACGACGACGATAAAGATCAGTTCTATGAGAGGTTGCAACCAATCATCGAGAAGTGCCTAAAAAAGGACCTCACCATCCTGATGTGAGATATTATAAACTCCAAAGTCAGAGCGGAAAAGACAGGATATGAAGATATAATGGGGAGACATAGACTGGAAGAGAGAAATGAAAATGGAGAGAGATTTGCAAATCTATGTGCATTCAACAAATCGGTTACAGGCGGCACAATATTCCCACACAAACGCATACACAAAGCCACATGGATCTCACCGGATCACACTACACAGAACCAGATCAGTCATATCTGTATCAATGAAAAATTCAGAAGGTAAATGGAAGACGTGAGAAGCAAAAGAGAAGCTGACCTAACATCAGATCACTGGACAACTGAGGAAACAGCAATACAAAGGTTCAATACAGCCTTCCTTCGAGATGCTAACAAAATAAACGAATTCAAGTTATCTCTGAACAACAGGTTCCAAGCCGTACATGGTCTTCTCGATGAAGAAAAAGCTACTATAGAAGACAAATGTTAAGGGATCAAAGAAGCACCAACTCAAATGTGTCAGAAGGCTCTGGGCCGTAAGAAGCATCATCATCATCATAATAAATGAATCTCTATCGAAGCCCTGAACAAGATTCAAGAAGGGAAGAACAAAAATACAGTAATTAACAACCGATGAACAAGAACAGATAACATTAAGGCACAAGTTGAATACACAGAAGCAAACAAACAAGTGAAGAGAAGCATTAGGGCTGACAACCAGAGATTCGTGGAAGACCTGACAACGACAGCATAAAAAGCTGCAAGAGAAGGAAATATGAAACAACTATATGATATGAAGAGAAACTGGCAGGAAAATATAGTAAACCGGAGAGAGTAGTCAAGAACAAACAAGGTAAGCCAACCATCAGGACATGTGGGTAGAGCACTTTGGAGAACTCTTGAATAGATCAACCTCATTGAACCCACCGGACAAAGAAGCAGCATACACAGATCCTCCTTTAGCTGTCACTACACTAACGATTGAAGGAATCAGGATGGCCGTCAGACAAAAAACAGTGGGATCTGACAACATACTAGCTGAAGCACTTAAGTCAGACGTAGAAGTAACTGCAAAGGTGCTCCACATTCTATGCAGGAAGATTACGAGGGAAGAACAGATGGCGACAGAATGGAAAGAAGAATATCTCATAAAGATACCAAAGAAAGGAGATTTCAGTAAGTGTGAGAACTACAGAGGCACCACACTACCGTCAGTACCAGGAAGAAATTTCCAAACAGTGTTGCTGAATTGGCTGAAAGATGGGGTGAACGACAAACTTCGAGATTGACAAGCTGGATTCTGTAAAGACCGGTCGTGCACAGACCAAACCACGACCCTACGGATCATCGTTGAAGAATTAATTGAATGGAACTCATCGCTATACATCAACATCCTTGACTATGAGAAGGCAATTGACAGTGTGTATAAGAGAACCTTGTGGAACCTTCTTCAATATTATGGTGTCAGTAGGTGAGAAAATCGTCAACATCATTCGGAATTGATACGATGGACTGCACTACAAAGTTATGCATGAAAAAAAAGCTCATAGAAGCACTCCAAGTAAGGGCCGGAGTAAGACAAGACCGCTTATTCTCCTCATTTATCTTTCTTCTGATGGTTGACTGGATTATGAAGGCCTCCACATATGTCGGGAAGCACGGAATACAATGAACAGGTTGGATGCAACTAGACGATTTGGACTTCACAGATGAGGTATCCCTTCTATTCCATATACACCAACAAATGCAGGTCAAGACAACCAATGGAGCAGAAGCCTCTGCATTAGTAGGCCCCAACATACACAAAGGAAAAAGCAAGATCCTCAAATACAACCACGGAGAACACCAAGACAATCACACTTGATGGCAAAACTCTGGAAGAGGTGGAATCTTTTACATACCTGAGAAGCATCATTGATGAACAAGGAGGGTCCCATGCAGACATAAAGGCGAAGATTGGCAAAACAAGGGCTTCATTGAAGAACATATGGAACTCAAAACCACTCTCAAACAATGTCAAAGTGAGAATTAGCAATACGAACTTCCAGACAGTTCTATAGTATAGAGCTGAAACTTTGAGAACTACCACAACCATCGTCAAAAATGTGCAAGTATTTACAAACAATTGTTTACGCAATACACTCAATGTCCGTTGACTGGATGCCATCAACAACAATCTACTGTGGAAGAAAAAGAACCAGCTTCCAGATCAAGAGGAAATGAGGAAAAGATTTTGGAAGTGGATAGGATATAGACTATGGAAATCAGCAAACTGTATCATAAGGCAAGTCATAACTTGGGATCCAGAAGGGAAACGGAAAAGAGGGAGGTCGAGGAACACAATACGTCGAGAACTGGAAGAAAACATGAAAAGGATGAACAACAACTGGGAAAGATTGCCCAGGACAGAGTTAGATGGAGAGTGCTGGTGATCGGCCTATGGTCCTCTACAAGGGATAACAGGCATAAGTAAGTAACTAGTATACACAAATACCTGTGATATTTGAATGGTGAATATGAGAGCGGATACATATATCGATAATCATACTCAATCAGAGGGTTTTGTCATTTCAAATAGACTAAGAGTAGATAAAAGTTAATAATGTATACAATAGGGTCGGTTTATCACTTAAATATCAATATTTTATAATATTAGATACATATCTAAAAACATGAAAAATTTGTTTAATTCTCTTGTACAATTAAAAATTCTAGGTTATAAACAGTAAATTCTAATTTAAATGAATGAAAATATGTTAATCAAATTAAAATTTCAAGATTATGTATATTGGAATTTGTCAAATAACCTAAAAGTTTTTAATAATCAATTCAAAATTAAATTTACCAGTAGTACTTTTATTTATGAATTGTTAATGTATAAAAAAAAATTTCATTTATAACTAATCGATATTAATGATGTACAAACACAATGAACATTTTCATTTGTTGCTAATTATTTACACATCAAAAAAAAAAAAATTATTAGACCATCTGGTTGAACGGAAACAGAAATCAACAACAAATAATAGCACTACTAAAAAAATAAACCAAAAAATAATGATACTATCTGTCTAAAGAGATAGGCATTTAACCTAATCCTCTACTTCAACTGAGTCATTTAAGAGATAAAAAAAAACAAACTACAATAGCCTATTTGTAGGACTGTAAATTTTGAGGTCAGACAATATACAGTTATCCAAAGAGGGAAATAAAGAGAAAGGGAGATAAATAAAATGTAAAATAACAATGATAGCTTATAAGAAAAACAATATCGATACGTAAACACAGGGAAAACACATGAATCATTAAACTGGTGAAAACAATTGAAGAAGCTATAATTAAAATGTTGGATAAGTAAATCATTGAATTAGAATGAGTATATATATGTATAATTCTTGTATACATCTGAGTATGAAGCCATGTGGACAGTTAGTGTATACAAGTATAAAGTCCTACTATAAAACGTATAAAAATGATAACATGAAATATGAAACCTTTGTTAACTACTTACTACAATTTCAGTAGTACATCTCTATAGAAAATGAACTAAAAAAATCTTATCAGAATTAATAACATAAGAATTTGAATAGGAAATTGTTTTATTCCAATTCAAAAAAAGAAGAAGTATTTAATGTGGCGTTACCAAAATGTCTACTACCATGATCATCAATTATATGTTGTACGTTAAGCATGTTATTTGGAACTATCTATTCAACAGATAAAAAAAGTATCATCAAACTAGAAAAGGTTTTATGAATTTGTTTTTAAAAAAAACCCTGATAACTCTTAGAACACAATGGAAAGTTTAATGAGCAGTAGTACTAGTTATAGTCTGAAAGATCTAATAGTATCCAACTATATACACATACATAACACATCATGATGGTACATATATGTGCAAGTGTTTGACTGACTAACTGATCAATAGTAATTTGAGTTCATTTTTCCATAAACAAAAATCAAATAATGCCAAACATCTGCTTGCATTATTTATAAATGGTGAAAGTATAACAATATTATTATCATTTCACCATTTATTTCAATCTTACAAAAATAAATAAATAATTTCAGGGACTGGTTAAGTATATTTTGTTTAAAGAGAATTTATTGTCTAAACACAGATATACAAAAATTAGCGATTCACTGATAGGATACTCGATGAGAAACCATGAAACTTTCAACTTTGAACAAGTATAGAGCGTATGATAGATAAATCAGTGTTTTGTAATTTTTAATGTTCTTCTACCTATTGTCAGGAGGTGATGATGGCTACTACAGCAAAACGATGTGATATTCATTTCGAGTAATCCGAAAGAACAGCTTTTTCTTCAGCACACAAGTATGACTATAGCAGACAGCGAACGGATATATAAAAAGCACATACACAAGCGACAAGAGAAATAAATTAACGATTGAGAATAGCCAGTCAGGATAATATACCAATCAAGTAAACAACATAAGACTGAGTGAGTTAGAGTAAAACTGATTGCTTATCAATATCATAACCATAGTAACAGTATCCATAACAAATAATTTTAGGCACCAAATATTATTTTAAAAACATTTCATTAGCAAACTTTTTGTTTTATTTACTGGGCGGATAATTTACTTTATTCCACATTTTTTATTAGAAAATTTCCTTTTTCTAAAAACTTGGGCAGATGCATATATGTGCTTCGCCCGACTTTGAAACTGACTGATTGAGTGAGTCTGTGCTTCATAGCACAGCCCAACAGTTAGTGGTTCCATTAACTGATGACAAGTTTCATCCGACTGTCCTTAACTATATTCAAACTATTCATATCCTAGCATAAAACTCAGCGCTCAACCTCACTACTGCTCATTTCATTACCCCAACATACGCGACTAATGCTTACAAAATACATATGTTCAAACACTAGTAACGTGCAAATGTCGAACGTATTTAGAGCCCACTCTCCACTGACATAAAGTGAAATAGGGAAAATTGCTGTTCAGTCAGTATACTTATGTACAGCTGGATCAGGAAGTCCCATTCAAATGAAAAAAAAACTGGCATGGGAAACAATGTCTGTCCGTAGTTCCTGCCTATCAGACAACAGACTGCAACCCCAGTGTAATCAAACGTGAGTTCTACCACCAGTCAAACGATTTCAAGAATGTACGTTTGATAGATGTTGTAGTGATAGATGAAGATTTCGATTGTCAGGTCACACTTTTAGGCAGAGAGGATAGTGGTTAGGGTAGTCACTGGGGTATAGTTGATCGCAGCACAGATATGGTGACTGTCTCATGCAGCTAAGCACAAACAATAGCCTGTTTTTAAACAGCATCTGTAGAAATGTTCGTGCTTCTGGGTAGTTATCCGAGTGATGGTGGTAACGTCAATGAACAGTGTAATATACATATAATAAAAGTCAGAACGGGACATATCAATCTAGACTATCTTTGGCGCTGTCGTGATGTTAATCTGGCTGTGAAAGGTAGTGTACAATACGTTGGTTAGAGGATCCCTACTCAATGCCATTGAAGCCCGTCCTTCGAGTTGAGAATCTCTGGTGACTCTTTATATCTGATCGTTATTGTCCCTGAAGGACTGTTGACGTCCAGTGACAACACCATGTTAATCAATAGTGAGGTTGAGTAATGTGTGTTCGGACACATTTACGATAACTGAAATAATTTTATCATCTTGAAAGACTTGTTTTGGCGACTTGGACATGTAAAATGAATATCATAGAAAATTATATATATAAGTACTGACAATGGCAAACTTACATAAAATCGTGAATGAAGTCGATTGCCTGGTTCAGCACAGTTATTAATTCCAACAGAACGAAATAAACCTTGCATATGCTTGACTACAACCCCACATGGATAAATCTGGTTTTACAGAAATAGGAAACAAAATGTAAAGGGTTTCATAAAATACTTGGAGTACAAGCACTTCGTGCTATAAGGTTAGATTTCAATACTTTTTATCATGAATTTAGTTACCGAATTTCTAGGCGATTGATGCATGTGAGAACAAACTAGTAGTACAGATGATCTGTGAGGTTGCTAATACCAGTAGATTATGTAGATAAACAAAAGGCTAGAACTAGTACATAAAATGGGCTACCAATATAGTTTTTAAAGAAGTATATATATAAAGTTAACAGATATGAACTGTTCATAAGTAACAAATGAGTGAACATATATCTAGCAATGTCCTGAATGATATACTGAATAGAGCTGTTAACAGGTACTTTCGGCTAACAAATCCTTATTTGTCATTCTCCAGCCGTTAATGGTAGTTGCTTGACCAAAGAATATGTTATCTGGTTTGCTACTTCTGTATATATTTAAGAATATAGCTGATCCCATGAAGAATGTCAAATCGGAGGTATCACGGGTGAATTCGGTGAGCACTTCTTTTTTTGAGCTGAAAGAGGTTAGACAAAGCTTTATCCTATTACACTCATTCGATAGAACTTGGGCATTCAAAGTGATTGATTACACAATACTTTTGATTGGATCAGTTACTATTTGAAATCAAACATGTTACACAAACAACCGTACAGAAACAGATTACAAAAATATCAAGGGAAAAAATCTAAAGAAATTTTTCATCAATCAAAATTGTCTAATATACAGTGATTAAGAAATGTAACACATACTAGCAACAAGTATTATAAACATAATGAGATTACAATCCATTATCTATGTTAGATAATCATTGAACCATGAGTTAATTTTTTCATTTATTTAAACAAAATATGATCAATTTTGATTGACAAAAGGAAAAAGGTGGAACTAAATTTCCTTCTGAATGAATTAAAAGAAACTCATCATTCATTATTTACTGAATACTGCTACGAGTATGAGTAGTATATTCGATTGTCAATCAGTAGAAATATGAGTAGAATTATATTAATTGATAAAGATCTAATTTTGAAGAGACAGTTGAAAAATTTTTCTATGAGAATAAGTAAACTTTTCTATGTATATAATTATTGGTATAGAACTATTGTCGATATTAGTGATGAAGAGAAAAGATAATTCTCACCGTGGATTGATAACGACTGGAAGATTATCAACAATGAAATGAGATGATTACTGTCTCCTGATATGGACTTAGTCATACTGTTAAACTTAATTTACAATGCAGTACACGCATGAGTGAATATCATTAAAAATCATGAATAATTTCCTTTAGTAGTTGATTACATTTCGCACTGAAACATAAAGAAACTTATAATAAGGGAAAAAAACTAAATAGCAACGAATCGAACATTCGATCGTGTCGTGTTGACGGGAAGTTTGAAGATTCCTTGTATTATTACTTTATACTTGGTTAATTACTATTACTCATAACTGTCAAGATGAAGGAGTATATACCCTATATATAATATAAACATTAAAGTTATCATGAAAGCAGGAAATTTTAAGATTTTACAATCTTTTCAGAACTGGATTGCTACATATATAAAAACAGCAATTAGCCTGAAATGACAAATAATGGTTACGTATGCACTGGCACTAATTTCTGCGAAACATCAGGTTGTTACAAAAATCTCCACATACAGATATCTGTCTCTCTATCTTCACAAGAAGCCACATAATAATGTAGGTAGGCAACAGATATTAACTAGTATAAATATCCAAATACGGGCCCCTAAGTTAGAATAATTTTTGTGTGTATTAAGTTGTATGACAGATGTGAGATATATGATATTTTTAGTATTAAATAGTATCTGTGTTTGTTAGTGATATAAGTAGAACTAAATGTGTGGTTATTTGGATAAATAGTCCAAGTTGGATGGATAGTTGGGCCTTCCTTTCTGTTGAACCATTAGATTTATTCTTTTGCAGAATGCTTTGATCTTATTTACATTCAAGATACGCTGCAGTCCTTCTGTTATATCATGGCAAAAAGGTAGCAATACACATTTCATTCAAATTACTTACCAACACACAGTTTCATCTTAATACATTTTTGATAATATCCTTATTGTTTAATCACAAGATGTTTATTATGTTCTCGAATCATAATAAATATTCTGCTTTGTTCTCCTGTACTGTGTAAACTTGTGGTAATTTAAGTCGACTGTTCATTTATCGTCTTAAGAAGCAACTAACATTAAGGTGTGTAGAATCAGAAATCTAAATTTCCAATTACAAGTGTGTTATTTGATAATCATGGAAAATAACACCACTGTTGAATAACTTCAGTGCCTGATGTATAATATAAAAATTATCATGTCGGGTTGCTAGGGTCTTTAAATGTTATACTCACTTAGTCAACTTTATTCTTTAACAATTTCATGTAATTCGCTACCTTCACAAATTTTTAAAAAAATGGCAAGGATGATAATATTTACAGAATACACTTAATTATTTGCATTTCGTTTCTTTCTCTTCAGATATACACTAGTCAATAGAATTAATTATTTACAATTATCACTATGTAGTTGAGAAATAAATTATCAGTAAATAGCAAGTAATGTGTATTGTAAGACATAAGAATTTAATCTTCAAAAGGGCTTATTTCTAGGTTGGGTGTAAGCAGTCGACAGGAAACTCTGGACTTAGGTTTCATGTTATATGGCATTCGTCAGAAAGGTGCGCTGTAATCTTATTATAACGTCATATACTTCCGAAAAATCTGTCATGTTGCGTAATAAAATTATCTTAATGCACTAGAACTAATATGTGTGCTACTTATACGGACATACATAAGTAGTATGTGTCAGGAACTGGAAGTAAAATTCTTACTAATAGAAGCAACCAGAATAGCAACAGGAATGAAATAACGATGTAGTTTGTAAGATTCAATTCAAAGATGTGGAAATGGTGTATTCAATGTATTATTGTCATACTTATGCGGTGTGTGTCTGAACGACTCCATATAATTCGCAGACTAATGGGCGAACAGAATGGAACAGCTGCATGTTGAAGGAATGGTTGGCGGCAAAAAGAGATAACTGGGAGACGAAACTACCGATGATATTACCATTTCATCATACCCCAGTTCAAGGAAACACCAGAGTCGCCGTTTCAGTTGATGCACGACAGAAGATTGAGACTGCCAGGAGACATATAAGACTTGGTTGTAGCCGCAAAGATGGAGTTTTAAAGAAAGTGAAATGACAAACGAAAGCAAGAGGTAATAAATTTACAAAAAAAGGTTGGGCGTAAGGAGCTTCAAAAACAATCAACGGGAACAGTAGAAGGTTTTCTCAGTCGGTCAAATGTAGACAACGAAGGGAAATAGCAAGAGGCGAATTTGACTCGCGTAAACTACTGCCCAAGTGGGAAGGATCATACGTGATTACCCGGAAACACGGACCAGTGTATACTATCCAAAAAGGCAATAAGGAGAAATGTGCGAATGCTAGCCAGCTCTAAAAGTGGATTTAGTCGATTGAGTGATCTGAGCCGGTGAAAACAGAACTTCGGAGGTCAGCAAGCCTACAGACTTGAAAATTTGAAAGGAAGGCTAGTGTGATGGACGCTACTAACAGGATTGTTTGTATGCAATATGTAGCGGAGTGTGGCGCCGACGTTGAAACAACTGTCATACGGAGTGGAGGGCTTCGGTACATCAAAAGCGTGGCATTGGCAGAACACATGGAGATCAGTCGAGAAAATAGTTCAGATGGCAAAACACACGGAAAGATGCAAATGCACGAGTGTAGGCTATGTGCATGTTTTATGTAAATACTTTGTAACTTGTCACAACAAATAAAGATTCACTAAATATTCTCATTGAGACATTAGAAACACAAGTTGAGAAAAAAAAAACCATTCCAATTCTTAACTTATTTTACACTAAACATTACTTGTTATTTAATGATAATTCATTTCTCAACTACATGTTAATAATTGAAAATTATTAAACTTGTTGACTAGTGTATATCTGAAGAGAAAGAAACGAAATGCAAATAATTCAATGTATTCTGCGATTATTGTCCTTGCTTTATGTAGCGGTAGATTAGGTGTTAAGGCTTTCACTCATTAAATCATTGATTAACATTCTGTTCCAACTACTTTGGTTTGGGCAATTGAGTAATATTATTGAATTGTAGTGGATGTTAATCTCACAACAAATATACTTATTCCTCCTGTCTATTATCATGTTTTACATAAGCCCTTACTGAATGAGTCCATTTAAATTTTAAATAAAAATTTTCTGTCTAAAGTGCAAAAAATGTTGACTTTTTGAACAATCTACTTCAGGGACAATTCAATTGCAGTTTACAGTGACAGAATGAATCAATCATCGACAAAACTGTATTCTGATCATTACTTAAAACGTAGAATACTAATATCTTGATGACGTGAAATACTTGGTGTACATCTAAAAATAAAATTTTTCAAGTTTACTTTTTGTCAAATTATCACTTTTAATTAGATTTTCCACTTTTCGACCCCTCTTACTATTAACATTCCATTATTCTGTCAGGTCGATAATCACATCTACACACAGACACACACAATAGGAAGTGGTGGTCAAGAAAGAATAAGGCAAATAAATATTTAAAAGAGGAACAACAAGTCAATCAGTAAATATTAACCAACCCCAATGGTTTATACAGTGGAAATACAATGAATATCAATAAACCATATAAACTAAGAACGATAAATGCAATTTACTGGAGAGAAAAATTGTGAAAAAAAACAACCACTTCTTAATAACTGGACTTTGAGTAAAACAACATAAACTATGAATTCTACAAAAAAGAATAACACTGAATATGACTAACGTTGTTTATTGCTACATGAATTGGGCATACACATACACAAAAAGTAAATCAACAGACAAACAACAAGATAATAAAACGTTTGAGATTGTTTATCAACTAAAATAAAATACAAACTGAGTTTTATTATTAAGGTCA